TTCTCGCCGTTCGACATGGTGTAATCCCGTCCTGACAGCGCTCCAGTCTCAATTAAGATCTCGGTTCTGGGACCTGTAGCATGCCTTGATCCTACTACGAATGGCTTAGACCCTTTCGACTTAAAATAATGGGCGATTGTGTTGTTCACTGGCGCGATAAATACACGTGAAGCCCATGTTTTGGCGCCCTTGTGTGTGGCAATTGGCTCCAAACTGAAGTTCACACTGAATGATCCGTAAGATCCGGATGCAGTGTCCATTGTTAGACATTGCAGATCTTGGTTGTAGGGTCATTTTTGCAGCGTTAATCCACATCGTTATCTCACTGCACATCGGGTGATAGTCCTTTGTCGCACTTTTTAACCTGTCATGGGAAGCATGATTGCTCGCTACCTTTGTGAAGTAACTGCTCAGTTTGGTCACCATTTATGGGGTGCTGTGTTGATTTTTACGCTGACGTGTTCTCCGTAACAGTGCGCGTCGGAGGATATTATAATGAGACGAAGACAGAAAAGGTAGATAAAAATGAACGTGAAGTGATCAGCGCCCTTTTTCTTGCCCAAGTGGCCTATTCAAGTCCATTAATTTCTGAGAATGGCTCATGAACACGATGCGACATCACTGCGAACAGTCCGTTGATGGTTTTATCGGTAGGCGTGCTTGAAATGGTCGTCAACGGCAGGTCGCGTGCCGAACCCTTTACTCGCGCCCACGTAGCCGGCGGCCTAGCTGGTGGGAAACGCTACCATAGAAAATCGCCATTCGGCTCTGGCTGCCATTGTCGGAGACCGCGTGGATGAGTAGAGTGAGAGTGAGAGTGAGAGCGAGAGCGAGAGCGAGAGCGAGTACGCGGGGAGCTCCTCTGCAGCCTTTTCTCTTGAACATACACATGACGTATGAAATGACGCACGTAACGACGTACGTACGTAACGTACGTACATCACGTACGTAAAAATGAACGAATTATTTACCTGCATGTCCAATATGTCAACATAAGGCAGCCAAAATCCGGCGGCAACCTGGGTTTGGGATATAGGTTAGACCGTCCCCCCCCCCCCATATCCTATGTCCGCGCGCAAGCTGTCTGCGGAAAGGTCACACATCAGTCCCTCTTGGGGTGCCGGTAGTGTAGTGGTTGACGCGTCTGCGATAGCCACTACACGTCTGCGAAACCAGAGGTACGGGGTTCGATTCCCCGCGGTGCCCGCTCTTCCTGCCAGGGTGAGAGGCAGGCGACGCCATATAGCCTCAGTAGCTAAGTGCGTCGTAAAGCCCCATTGACATGGCACATCAATCCCTCTTGCAGCATCACGTCCCTGCGAAATACCCCACGCGGCACCTGTGCCGCACCAACACACATGGCAGTCAGCGGGGCGGAGCGCCAGGTCTGCCTCAGGAAAAACAATGTCGCATGCTGCACCGTAGGCTACCGCTTACCTGGAGAGACGTGCTATAAAAAAAGATCGCCCCCTACTCGCACGATCTGGTCGTAGTCGACTTTTTACAATTCTCAAGACTGAACGGACCGTGATGTGGTTGATGGTTCTGGGTGCGGAGGAGCTGCTGGCGGCCTGACGGCGCGCATGCGGCGGCGCGTGTTGAAGAGTTGCTTAGAGGCACGGCAGAATGCGTGGGCACAAGTTTATTTCTTGAGGTCAGCGTTGAGTGTTTGTTTATAGTGTTTCCGGCTGCTTAACCTGTCCACTCGCGGCACAACAGTGTCCGCCAGGAACTGGCCTTGCCTTTTTAGATAATGATCTGGTTCTTTTGTAAAACTCAGACAGTTTTTAGGATGTGTCGAGACGTGGCAAAAGTTCTGCTGTCGTCGACTCATTCCTCTAATGATAGCAGATTAAAGGGAGTGCGCCACCTCCGGGGCATGTTCAGTGCTAACATATCTAGTGGAACCTCAGGACCAGTTATGTCTAATAATAGCGCTGGGAAGTGCCACCGCTGCATGAGTCACATGTGATGCGCAGACTGATTGCAGCTATTTTCTAGTACAAATTAGCAGCCAACGTGTCTTTTTCTCAGTCGCATCACTTCTCTTTTTTCTTCCTTTGTAGCCCCAGGTTTTAACCTTTGGAACCTCGGTCTTGGCGCATGCAGAGCATTTAAGTGCAGTATTCCTCATAGCGTCCACGCCTTTACGATACAGAGAAAAGGATGTTTGCAAACACCAAAAGTCAGACCCTTGGCATATCCCAAGTGTGGTTTCAGAATTATTCTACCAGCCGCGAGTACAACTGACGTCAGCAGAAAAGAACGCTTGTGGTTGCAACGGGGCTGTTTAAGCCATTCAGCGAGAAGCGACATTGTTGGAAATTTGGCCTTATGCGTCACTGGACCACCTGATACGCCGCTAGGACATACTTGCTTTGCAAACACAGCATTGCAACGAACTTAGCGGACAAGTAAGCAACGTTCCCGAAAGCCAAAGTGTACATGCAAAACAGTTACTGTGCTGAGCGTCATGGCGAGAGACAAAAGCCATAGCATGACGTCTCGTTGAATTCGCGTGTTAATGACATCACGCTTGTGTATACTTTCGTTACATGAAATGTGTCAAGCTATCATAATGTTTTTTGCCCAAGCTTTTTGGACAAATAGCGCATTGCGAACATAACAAAACACACCGTGGACAAAGGGAAGCAGATGACAGGTACCACTATCAAATTGGTACACAAGGAGCCCAGCGGCGTTTCTTCCATCAGAACGTCCACTTAATTTCGTAATGCTGAGCTGGAAGGATTTCGAGAAATTTGGTATCGCGGACCAAATCAGGCGCTTCTGATATGTGTGTGAAAAGTCCAAAACGGCGAGACACTCTCTTTAAGAGCATATCTGCGACAAGCTGTCATACAGTGCTGTGCCCATCGGATGTGAGCTCAGCTTTTTCAGCACACCTAGTTGCTGAACAAATCCGAGGCTGCAGTCGGAAAGAAATGGGCATCGTACGATAACCAGAAGGGATAGATAGATAGATTGAAATTTCGGCTAAATACCTTCATCGGAACGACGATCGGTAGTTAACTTATAATTGCTTGTCGATTCCACTGGGTTTTTAAAGTTGTTTTCTAACAGCGATTCACAGGTTTTACAGATCCAGCAATGTTCAGGGGATTAAACAAGAGGCAGTTGTCAGCCGTTTCCACGGTACAGTGTATATCCAACTAATAATTGAAATGCGCGAAAAATACTGTACATGCGAACGAAGTCAAAAAAACAGGCACCATGCAACATTTGTACCTGGAAGCGTTTTCAAGTGAACAGGCATCACGCATCACGCATCACTTGTGCATGCAAACGATTTCATTTAAACAGGCATCGCGCATCACACGTCAGGCATCGCTCATACACATAAACAATTTTAAGGTAGCACGCATCACACATCGAGGCACCAATCACATTAACATAGTTGGCCGTATCAGCGGCCGTGATCAGCCCTGCACGTTAGAGTCTGGTCGGCGACTTCTTATAAGGATGAATTCACTGTTTCTCCTGTATGGATGGTCCTGTGCTCTGTAGGTGACTTTAAGCTATAAAAGGGGTACAGGGTCCGTACCTCCCTGGATTTCAGCCTATGTGTGTTTTGCTCCCCCCCCCCAAAAAAAAATGGTGTCGAGAGGGGTGGTTTCTGTCGTGTTTTAGTGTCTCCCAGGTGTTCATTATATCTTAAACGAACCAGGCGCATGGACTCCCCGGCATAGACTATGTCCTTACCATGTTTTTCACACAGTTTACATTAATTTCGTTAACCACGTTTCTTTGCATGCAAACCCAGACTTCTTTGCTCTTGAAACCCAGGCTTCCGTAAATGGCATCTATTGCCCCCAAGCACTTCGGCTTGAAGACAGAAAATCCCAGCATATAGTTGTCGTTCTTCCAAGTTATGCGTACGCGCAATTTTGATTTTCTAACGATATGTCTGACTTTCCAAAGCAGTTGTATGTAAGGTAGTTTTAAAAATCTGTCGTTTGACAGAGCATGTTCCTGTTTCGTACCACCCGTCCCCCACGCGCTCTAGATTTGATTATATATATATATATATATATATATATATATTACTCCTTACACTCCTTGCACTTAGAGTCATGAAGGATATCCATAACCCAACAGCAAAGTCCATATTTTGTGTATGCCCTTTTTCACTTCTTGGTGAATTGTTTAGAGCCCTTTGGAACATGTTGCGAATTATGCTGTGCTTAGTGAAAAAATGGATGCGCAGATTCGCATTGCGGAATTATACCAGAGTTGGTGGCTTGATCAAGAGCTCTGTTTCCAACGTTGCGCGGTTGTCCTCTTTTTTACCGTCACGAGTGCGTCCAGATAGAGGACCCCCTTTCTTTCCTCTTTATTCATCATACAGGTGACGGTGTGTCCACCTGTCCACCTGCGATGTCCACCTTTCTCGACTCGAGCTGCTTCCTCTGCTGTCCCTTTCTCTCGATCCGTGCCGCTTCCTCTGCTGTCCACTTCTCTTGACCCGTGCCTGCTCCTCTGTTGTCTACTTCTCTCGACCCGTGTCGCCTCCTCTGCTGACTGTCCACTTTTCTCGACCGTGCCGCTTCCCCTGCTGTCCACTTCTCTCGACCCTTACCGCATTCTATGCTGTCCATCTCTCTCGACCTGTGCCGCTTCCTCCGCTGGTCACTTCTCTCAACCCGGGCCACCTCCTCTGCTGTTCACCCCTCTCGACCCGTTGCACCATTTTCGCTGCCCACCTCTCCGGACTCGTGCCGCCTCCTCTGCTGTCCATCTCTCTCGACCTGTGCCGCATCCTCTGCTGTCCACTTCTCTCAACCCGGGAAACCTCCTTTGCTCTCCACCTCTCCCGATCCGGGCCGCCTCCTCTGCCGTTCATCTCTCTCCACGCGTGCCACCTCCCTCGCTGCTCACCTCTCCGGACCCGTGCCGCCTCCTCTGCTGTCTTTCCCTCTCGACCCGCGCTGCCGCTCCTCCTTAGCGTTCTCTCTGACCGCCGCCGTCTGTCGCTGCAGGTGGCCGCATCTGTTCTTTCTCGCCGTGCATAGAGCAGGTGCAGAAGACGTGCGAGAGTCTGCGGCGGCTTGGCTTCGTCCAGCTGCAGACACTAGAGTGTCTGCAGCGCGAGTTCCAGGTCCGCAAGTCGACCATGACCGTGTTCGACCTCAGCCAGGTGAGCAGCCGCCGGCGGCGGTCCGGTCCCCCTGTCGCGTCGGCACCCATCCGCCCTGATGTCTGGACAAGTCAGGATATCGGTATCAGGATCTGACATCGCATCTTGGGAAAGTGTCATGTTACACCACGGTCCTGGAAACCAAGCCTTGAGAGAGGCTGGTTATAGAAAAAGCGCGTTTTTCACTACCGGGTTAGGTTGGCAACCGACGGCCCCTCAGCGGAACGGCCAGCATGTCCACCTGCTTTCTGGTCACCGACCTGGGAGGATTACGGCCGTTCTGCGCTAAGACACAGATAGAGGGCGGCAGACGAAGAAATGTGCCCGCCTCAGCCGTCGTCGCCCAGCCAGCCGTCTCCGTCGGTGACAGCGAGCTGACAGGCTGATGCCAATCGGACGGGGATTAGCAGGTGTCGCATCGCAAGCCGCCTGGCGCGGCCGAGCGGCGCCAGGCTGTATGGACGGCCGTGTTCCTGCCGGTCAACACCGCCTTGTCGCATCGCAAACCGCATGGCGCGGCCGAGCGGCGCCAGGCTGTATGGACGGCCGTGTTCCTGCCGGTCAATACCGCCTTGTCTCATTGCGAGCCGCCTGGCGCCGCTCGGCCGTGCCAGGCTGCATGGACGGCCGTGTTCCTGCCGGTCAACACCGCCTTGTCGCATCACAAGCCGCCTGGCGCCGCTCGGCCGTGCCAGGCTGTATGGACGGCCGTGTTCCTGCTGGTCAACACCGCCTTGTCGCATCGCGAGCCGCCTGGCGCTGCTCGGCCGTGCCAGGCTGCATGGACGGCCGTGTTCCGGCTGGTCGACACCGCCTTGGTGCCGAAAGCTGGCCCTTACGAACGGCGGAAGGGAAGTCAGCATGCTGGCGGGCTCGTCGTGCTGATGGCATGGTGAACTGAGAGCTCCGTACGGCCTCGTACGGCAAGGTCAGCTGGTGGGTTAGGACTGCCGCCTGCAGTCTGGAAAATGTGGGGAATCTTCGAGCTAGTTTAAATCATGCGCTGGTTGTAAATTAGGTCGGGTATTTTAAGCGTGACCGAACCGACGGCTTCAAAATACTCGTCACTTGCAGTTCTATAGCCCTCAGACATGACATCATGCCAACGGAACATTTCCCGGCTATTCATAGCCGCGCCTATCTTCCTGGACGTCATCATTTCGGTGCATAATGGTATAAAAATGTGTGCCACACGCCTTTGTTTGAGGACGCCGACAAACGTAGCCGTTCTACAGCAATTGTATTTATGCCTATTTGAGCAACCGAATGGTTGCGTGCTCTGCTCAAATAATTTCAAAAGACATGCGAGATGCGCTCTGCAGATCGACGAGTTTGTGAATCGCTGCCAGTTATGTCCATAGCAGTTACACCCACTTTGAAAACGCATGCAAAACTCATGGCACATGGTCGATCGCAGGGAGATTATGGTAACCAGTTTATAAGCACGTGTAGGGGATCGAATGCCTGGAATTGAATTTGTCCTCCATTTCCCGACATGCCCGTATGACTGTCCGTCTCATGGAGAGATGTCCGTCCGTCTCACGTGAGCGATACAATAGACGATATTTGCACCTCACAGTTGCTCTGTCATGTGCGTTCAGGATTTATGAGTTAAAAGTTCTTAGGTTGAGTTAACGACCTTCAAGATACCAGGATGTGCCTGGTAAACGCCGTTTTAGAGCCAAGTAGGGATTATGTTGACGCTACTAAATTTTGCCACTTGTGCTCATCCTCAATAGGGAGCACCTCAATACTGAGCACCGTCATTATAATGGTTATTTGCCACTACAACGTCGTTTACCCTGTACCTTCTGGTCTATTGAAGGTCGTTAGCTTAACAAGAACTTTGAATTCACAATGCCGAAAAACCAGGAGCTGAAGGCATTTCTTTCTCATATCGCGTGCAAAATTTCACTGTTCTCAACAGAATCAGCGTATCATCTCGCCAGTTACCTTTGTAGCATGATTACTGTCAAGATAGCAGCTCTGCACGTTGTCACTCTTGATCTCCCATCGTTAGCATTATGCAACCCTGTTCATAAACATGTGTAATGCGCTCCGTATCTCAGAACTTGTTAACGTGCGATGACATGTCCGGTCTAGGGGTCGTGCTGGGGCCAGCTTGTCCCTAGGGAAGTTGAGGTCCTGCCGGTGGGACGAGGGACTGTGGACTGGTGGCGTCCCCAAAACCGGAGCGTGACGCTGGTCCAGTGCGCCCCCTGGTCCAATTCCGACGTTGTTTCCCACGGACTGCTCGGGTCGCGCATATCGTGAATAGGCTTTTGGTATGGAACGCATGGGCGGCAAGAGGTTACCTAGCGCGACTCCAGTGTGTAAGGTCGTACGCGCGTGTGTGTGCGCGTAGCGGTCTCGTCGAGGAAGCAGAGCTGTGGCCCCGTTGTCCGGTGCAGTTGCCAGGCAGTGATGAGAGATATCCGGAAACACGCACACCAACAGGGGGCGTCCTGCTAGTGGCGAATAGCGAGTGCCAATGAAGATCAGTAGATCTCGAGTATCCACTGGATGTGCGCGGATATGGCCGAATGCACTGTATCTGGATATCTAGGCAATGTTTTAGCTCGTTTTGCTAAAAATGAAGTGGTCGTTTTTTCTCTTTGTCGTCGTGATATTGGTCAGAGTGCTGCATTATGTAATCTGTGATTCGGACATGACAGTTATCAGATCACTGATCCAGGCATTCCTGTCAAGCCATATGCTTGGGTGGCCATTGTGTCCAGTGAACGTTATCGGTGGGAGAAATTCCACCGCCTGTCATAAATTTTAATCATTCATACTCATCCGATGTATCAACTCCAATTAGCAGGTTGGTAGGTTGCGGTTATGAACTGAAAAACGTGATCGAACAACTTGAATGTACCTCGCGTTTGATGAATGGCTGCTGGAGATCCTTATGTAATCTGACGGATGGCCGCTGGAGATCGTTCTCGTTTCCTGACAGAGCCGGTTCAGGATCTGCACTGGGCCAAGGCTTGACATTTGCTCGACATCGCCGCGTAGCTTGTAGATGTCCAGTTTCCTGCCTGGGATGCCTGTGTAAAAAACACGCGTGCGGAATACTTGGTACGGATGTTTTCGTTGCTTTTTGCTCTCTATTTTAAAGTGCCTGTTGGAGACAGCACTGGAGCAGTATGCGTTCCAAGCGTGTAAAAACAATCAAAGCTGGTTTTTGGTACGTCCCCTAGCGAATTGGAACGCCGTATATTAAGCAGCTCATATCGTGTCACAGGTACTAGACGTGTCGTGAGCATTTGAAACTGCCGTCGCAAAGTTTAGACCCACGAAAAATACTTACGCTCATATTTTCCGGAATGAGTACAAAATAAGAGCTCAAAAATTAATTTCCAGCACCAGAAACTCCCTGCCGGCTGAAGATCGCCTCCGATGCGCTTCATTTTCCGCTGAAACGCTGCTTCTGACGATGCCTTGCGTGCCTATTAAGGTCTTCTCGCCCCCTGTTAAATCCATGCCACGGCCAAATCGCAGCGTTTTTTTTCACCGTGCAGAGAAAAATTTTGCCGAATGTAGTCTGGTATATTTCACAACCTGCTGCGTAGTCAACGCAGTACACATTTTTTGGTTCTCGTTCTTTAAAGTGGAAGTCATAAAAAACTTGGAGGCGACATGGATATCTCTTTGCGGCCACGAAGCTTAAACAAAGCACATTTTCTGCTGGGCGAGACCCCATGAATCGTCAGCGGTACGGGCTGCTCTTCACTGCGTGGTTGTCGCCCTGTTACCGTGGTAACGGAGCCGACTTTTCCCACAGCCGCCGCCAGATGCCACTACTGACACCGACCAGCCGAGCCGGAAGGCGGCGACTGAGCAGAAGCCACGTGACGTCCTGACGGGCATACCGCTGACCTGCATGCCCGGACACACGGGCTACCTGACGTTCGCCTCTCTGCCGCCGGCCCTGGCCAGCACGGCATAGCTGGTGTCCAGCTACTGGCGGACTTTTACAATATATTCATATGGACTTCGTACCTGTCTGTAGGGAAGGAAGCTGGTTCCGTTGTGTGGGCCTGGCCGGAATGCTGACTTCGCGTGCTCTTCAGTCGATCTCACAGGAGCGCGTCAGAACTTGCATTTGAGGGCAGCGTGGTTGACCTGAACTCTTGCACCAAAATAACTCCGTTCGTGAACCGAATTTTCCCGAATTTCGTGGATGCCATGACGTGCCATACTCATTGGGCGTACGGATGTCATACCCATCAGGCATACCTTGGCGGGCTCGGCCCACAGTGCTCGGTGGGCTGCTCTCAAGCGAAGTGGAAAGCTCGGTTGTGCCTCTCCCTGTTGCTCACTAACCGCCTCAGTAAGAAAACTCTGGGCTGGAGCCGTTGTGATCGGCTCTCGTGCAGAGGGTGACGAAAAATGGCGCCTGCAGCCGGTGCTGTCTTGTCAGCACAGCTGACATGTCTCGAACAGCCGGATGTCGCTGCCGCACCGGATGTGACGTCACGAGCGGACGTCTCGGGCACCTCCTACAGGAAGAAAGGCAGTTCCTACCCGTAGCGGAAGGCTGCAGACAGTTCAATGGCATGTATTGCTAGACGACGCATTGATTTCAACAACCGTTGTCGTCGAGCTGGAGGCCATTTTATGTGCGCTCGTACGAGATTGTTTCCGTCAACCCATGACCTAGCACAGCTAGCTCGTGTTCTCGCACATGGACAGAGCACGTAGACGTTGTCAATGTAGAATGAAATGCACACCAGGGACGTAAGAGTTGTGCTCCGTTGAAGGAGCTCGAGTTCACGAACTGCGGTCCAGCCTTCCCGAGACAGAGAACAACTCAACCATGCTCCTCGTTCACACCATCCAGGTTTACAATGCCAGAAAAAAGACGTCATGCAGTGACATTTCGGTTGTTCAAATGACAACTTGAAGTGGACCAAATCCGAGGAGAGAACAACACTTGCTGTGACCCATAGTAGATCGACCCGAGGGAGAGCCCGCGCCCCTCTGGCAATGTTTGCGAAGCTACATTCCCGGACGTAATGTCAAAACAGTGCAGTTCCCGCTTGGCTACAATTACCATTGTAGATACCTACGCCAGCAGGTGAGATGTCTAGAGGGAAAGCATAGTCGCCGGTAACATAGAAGTCGAGAAGGCAATCCGCTAGACGTAAGGCCCAACCCATCAGACACAGGACCGCATACTGCCCTAGGACCGCTCCCAGCAGGACCACCAGTCTACTAGACGTCAGACCCAACCCATCAGACACTGGACCGCATACTGCCCTAGGACCGGTCCCAGCGGGACCACCAGTCTACTAGACGTAAGACACAGTCCATCAGACACAGGACCGCATACTGCCTTAGGACCGGTCCCAGAGGGACCACCAGTCTACTAGACGTAAGACACAGTCCATCAGACACAGGACCGCATACTGCCCTAGGACCGGTCCCAGCGGGACCACCAGTCTACTAGACGTAAGACACAGTCCATCAGACACAGGACCGCATACTGCCCTAGGACCGGTCCCAGCGGGACCACCAGTCTACTAGACGTAAGACCCAACCCATCAGACACAGGACCGCATACTGCCCTAGGACCGGTCCCAGCGGGACCACCAGTCTACTAGACGTAAGACACAGTCCATCAGACGCAGGACCGCATACTGCCCTAGGACCGGTCCCAGCGGGACCACCAGTCTACTAGACGTAAGACCCAACCCATCAGACACAGGACCGCATACTGCCCTAGGACCGGTCCCAGCGGGACCACCAGTCTACTAGACGTAAGACACAGTCCATCAGACACAGGACCGCATGCTGCCCTAGGACCGCTCCCAGCAGGACCACCAGTCTACTAGACGTAAGACCCAACCCATCAGACACAGGACCGCATACTGCCCTAGGACCGGTCCCAGCGGGACCACCAGTCTACTAGACGTAAGACACAGTCCATCAGACACAGGACCGCATACTGCCCTAGGACCGGTCCCAGCGGGACCACCAATTTTCTCCCCGCAGGGATTAATCGGCTGTCTGTTGGCTGCACCGTCCCGCCTCCACCAAGACGCTGCTGTCTGCTGCGGAGAGGGGCTCCCTAGCGTGCCAAAAGGCCTCATTGTCTACCATTTTTGCGTATCAGCAAGCTTTACACGTTTTAGAACCGGTTTTACATCTTAGCTTCCCACTCTCTAGCATACCAGGCTGCGTGACCTTTCTGTATAGCAAGACCCTAAGCTGCGTGTTGCGAAGTCAGTCTGGCAGGCCAACCTGTTGACCAGGGCTACGAACTGGGCTTGAAGGTAGTTCCAGCATAGCCCCTTGCATGAGCCAGCAGGGACAGCTATCGAGGGAAGAGACGCTCCGATCGCCACTCCACACCGCTGGAGCTCATAGGCGGCTCCTGGAGGGGGGGGGGGGGGGGGGGGCACCGGGCCATGGCCCCCAAAACCTCTGAGAGTATGTTTCCCCCCCCCGCCCCAAAAAATTTCCCAGAAATTCATAAAAGTTTCGTCTACCTACTGTCTGTTTTAACCTTAATTTTTAACTGTTTTGTTTTAACTTCTGTTCAAGATTCAAAAGCATTTCACTTTTTTCGGTTTTGAATGGTGTCCCTACTAGGTACTCGCGAGAGGCACCATGCACCGGACCTCGGATCCCACACCAACCAACTGTCGATGAACGGTTGCCGGTTGCCGGTTGCCGGACGAACGGTTTCTCTATGTTTAACCTGAAAGCATAACTTTGGCTTTCGACTTCATCCAGTGGAAATTAGTATTACGCGTTCACTGTTCTGAGTGGTTCAATGCCCTTTTACGCTCACAAGGCAAACTTAAGGTACACGAAAAAGTTGCGCAAACTGAAGCCTGGTACATGGATATGTCTGCTTCGGTCGCCATATTGCAGTTCAAATGAGGTTAATTGCGCGCCAAAGTGCTGCACACATTTCATATGCGTGAACCCAGAGGGCTGTAGGTGCCCCCTAAATGTTTTGTTTTATCGGTGATAACTTGCTCTATCTGCAGAGTGCATCAGTTCATTAACGGCACCGCCATATTGTCGCCCGTGAAGCGATTCGTGTGCTATGTGGGCGTGCGGTGGTACGGGTGGTCCGTCAGCTGGTGTGGATGTGTGGTGACACGGGTGGGCCGTCAGCTGGTGTGGGCGTGCGGTGACACGGGTGGGCCGTCAGCTGGTGTGGAAGTGTGGTGACACGGGTGGGCCGCCAGCTGGTGTGGGTGTGCGGTGACGCAGGTGGTCCATCAGCTGGTGTGGGTGTGTGGTGACACGGGTGGTTCGTCAGCTGGTGTGGGTGTGCGGTGGCACGGATGGTCCGTCAGCTGGTGTGGGTGTGTGGTGACACGGATGGTCCGTCAGCTGGTGTGGGTGTGTGGTGACACGGATGGTCCGTCAGCTGGTATGGGTGTGTGGTGACACGGGTGGGCCGTCAGCTGGTGTGGGAGCGTGGTGACACGGGTGGGCCGCCAGCTGGTGTGGATGTGCGGTGACGCAGGTGGTCCATCAGCTGGTGTGGGTGTGTGGTGACACGGGTGGTTCGTCAGCTGGTGTGGGTGTGTGGTGACACGGATGGTTCGTCAGCTGGTGTGGGTGTGCGGTGGCACGGATGGTCCGTCAGCTGGTGTGGGTGTGCGGTGGCACGGGTGGTCCGTCAGCTGGTGTGGGTGTGCGGTGGCACGGGTGGGTCATCAGCTGGTGTGGGTGTGTGGTGGCACGGGTGGGCCGTCAGCTGGTGTGGGTGTGTGGTGACACGGGTGGGCCGCCAGCTGGTGTGGGCGTGCGGTGGCACGGGTGGCCCGTCAGCTGGTGTGAATGTGTGGTGACACGGATGGGCCGTCAGCTGGTGTGGGCGTGTGGTGACACGGGTTGGCCGTCAGCTGGTGTGGATGTGTGGTGGCACGGATGGCCGTCAGCAGCTCCAGCACCACCACCAGCCTGCGGCCGCCTCTGACGCAGGTTGCGGCGCGCCGCGTGGGACGCGGCACCGGCACACCGCCCCCGCGGATGTGCATCCGGCCGAGGTCACTCGATGGCGTTGGCGCCGCAGAGGTCCTGCTTCGCCGGCGGGAATCCCGCGCCGGCGGTGCAGTGGTGCGCTCACAACAGATGCCAGTCAGGATCGCCCAGCGCTGCTGTGGAGATCCCCTGCTCCACAATCTGCGCGGCCGAGGCGCGATGTGTGATGTGTGGGCGAGATTTGGACAGCACTGGACGGCAGGTAATCAAACTTTCTTGATGTAGAATTCGTGACACTGTCAATATGTCAGTTCCCCCGATTTCCGCTCGGATGCCTATGTCTCGACGTGCTGATCTAGAGCATGTATTTAATCATATTTTTGTTCGTTTGTGTGCGTGTAGGTTTTGGTTTTATTTTCAAAAGAGGCCTATCCTTGTCGTGGTCATTTTGCCCTTTTTAAAATACCAGTAAGATAATGGCATCTCGTCCGGTGGTCTTCGAATAATTTCCAATCTGCTCAGGCCGAACAACCGTTTGTCGATCACATGACCTGACCTGCATGGTCTGCTCGGTGCTACAGCTACCGTGACCTTTACAGATCACAGCATCCCGTACTGCCAGGGCCTGTCTGATGCTATCCCATGGTTGTAGTGTCATAACACAGTCGTGATGAACTATTGCACAAGTGAAACAAGACAGTTCATATATCCCTGCTTGCAACCTAAAACGGGTTTTCCAACGAGCGTCCACCACGCCGAAACGTTCACGGGAAAACGTGGCTGGCTTCTCGCGACTCGCCCGATGTTCCGCGGTTCTCCCACTCGTGTTTAAGGAACGTCGGGCTTATATGAAACGCCTATAAACATGCATATATATATATATATATATATATATATATATATGTACATGCATATATGTATACATATGTACATATATATACACATTTATATGACTGTAAATATATTAAAATATCGGGGCCATATGATCATCTGTTCAGGACGTCGTTTTCAGTCAGTTAACTCGTTAACTTGCTTCTCGATGCGGCTCAAA